GGGAGGGTGGGTGGCGCTCCGCTTAGGTGCTCCGCCATAATTTGTGCGCTCAACGGCTGGTGGAGAACCTTCTTGGGCGGGTTAGGTCGGTATTGCGGAGACAGGTGTTGCTCCAAGAAGCTGAGGTCCGCCCGCCCTGGTAGTTCAATTCCATGCGTTTCTCCCGCGGGGAATTCCGCTGGCGCGTGTCGTGGTGGTTGGGCGGTTCCGGACGCTTCTCCCACGGCTTGTTGAGGCGCGACCGCCGTTGCCTCTGCTGTTGGCGCGGCCTCCCTGCTCATCATGAGCACGATGACTTGGCTCATTTGCTTCTGCATGTCGGCTATGACGTTGTTTTGCTTTGTCACTACCTCCCTCATTTCTTTGGCTGTCAGTTCGGGCTCTTCTTCTTCAATAAGCACCGCGTTGAGGTTGCTGGCTTCTGCGAACGCCCTTGGGTCGGTCATCGCCTTGATGGGCGTTGCTTCGTCAGGTTGATCGTGGTTGCGTTCTGCCATTGGTGGGTTTTCTTCTGCGCTTCTTCTTGGCCCCACGGTGGGCGCCAATTGTTTGAACCTAACTGAGTGTAGGAGTGAGATTCGAGTAAGAGTTAGGGTCAAGAAGAAGTGCAAGCAGGGGGTTTGATCGGAAGGTCGGAGACTAGAGAGAGTTGAGGGAGAACAAGAGAAGGGATATTAGAGAGATAAGTTGTTATTGTAGAGAGAGAGAGTGGTGAAAAATGCGATCCCCCCACCCACCGGAGTAAATGCCATATTTATAGGCTACATGGTGGTGGGTGAGTGGATGGATTACATGATGGGACCTTGACTCTGATGTGACCACTGACATGTCGGGGATTTAGGCCATCCCCCTACCTAGGACATGTCAGGGGTGTACCTACGACGGTGTCACTGATCCCGACGCGGCTGACCCTCGGGAAGTGTGAGTGGAACTCCCTGTGGCTAAGTTGCTTACAACGCGCCTGAGCTTCTGCGCCTTGATGTTTTCCACTCTCGCGCGGCTCGTGAGGAGCTCTGGGTCTTCGCGCGCCGGTTCCCTGTGCTGGCGTACGCGCAGTAGCGCGCTCTTAAGCCAGCATGCGCGCCTTAGCCCCTCGCGTGCGTCCTCTGTTAACGTGTCTTGCCTTGCACAACTAGGTCCGAGTCACATGCCCAACACAAACCATTGAAAATCTTTACCAATTTTTTCATGTCGCACTCCTCCATTGATGACCAGAAAAATATTAAGATATTGATAAAGATAATTTGAAAGCAAAGTTAAGGTCAATTCATGGTAATCGTTACAAATAGTGGGAATTAGCATTGATGTGAAATTGTTTAGGCTAATACCACTAGGAACCCCGAACTATTAAAAATGTGTAATTTGTGTCCTAAAATATCTAATATGACATTTGTGTCCCAACCTAATATAGTTTTGTGTCATTTATGTCGTAACCCGAACTATTAAGAATGTGTCATTTGTTAAATACTAACGGTCAACGCCGATCATCTCTAACGGAAAAATAGTTTAGGACACAAATGTCATATTGGATACTTTAGAACACAAATGACATATTCTTAATAATTCGGGTTTCATAGTGGTATTATCCAAAATTTTAATCAATATGTGAACCAAGAAAAAAAAACTTGTATATATTACTGGTTTTTTCAGTTCAGGGAAAGCTGAAGAAGAATAGGGAGCAATTGCCATAGGTCGAGGAGGAACTTTTCTAGTGAATCTATTATGAGTTATCACACCTGAAGTTGAAGAAGAACAAGAGGTCCCTGTTTCGACAGTGTCATCATTCATCAAGTCGTATCATCTGCTTCTATTTGTATAGTTTTAGAGCAATTCTCAAATCACAATTTCGGATCTTCATAAAACGGGGGCGAAAATCACTACTTTTGTCTTATTTAGAGTTAGATTTACTCTACCTGCGTGCGTCAGATCGCGAAATGTCGGCAAAATCCCTCGTCCAAATTACTCTAATCTGATAACGTTATACATAGATATCAACCACGCTTTTACACTCTGTTGTTGTAATACAACAACAACCGTCTATCTAGTGACCGCTCTTCCACTATTGAACGTGGACCAGAGCCGCGCCGAGATGCATTTTGTGAAAATGGCAAAAACCTCCAATCCGATGGACGATGGAATATTGGGACTTTTTGGCTGTCGTCGGGAAAAAGAGTGGACCTAATAATTTCCCCGTTTAATAAGGGGAATTCTCGCCGGAAAAGAAAAAAAAGACGAAAAATTTGTTGGTTGTGTATGAATTATGATTATGAATTATGATGAGCTCAGATACCGAGCAAATAAAATAAAAATAATTGCCTGGGAAGTGAGAGAGAGAGAGATGAGACCTACATCCCTAGATTTTGCAAAATTCTAAGCGACTCGTGTCAGGGAGAAAATCGTCGGTGGTCCCTTTACTTGCAATAAAAACCCAGACCACCAGCAAAAGCTCAAATCTGGTCTCCTTTTCTTTCTTTCATCACCTCTATTAAGATTCCCATTGGTAAATTTTAGGCAACATGTTGCTAGGCATTACTACCCGCTCTGTTTGGCAACAAGGGGGTGCAAATTGCAGGAGGGTGCAAGTTGAGGGGTAAATTGTTGGGGGGTGCAAATTGCTGGGGGGTGTAAGTGGAGGGGTAAATTGTTGTTTGGATGAAAAAGTAGGGGGGTGCAAATAGAGTGAAAAGTAAGTAATTATATTATTTTAAAATAGATTTTAAAAATAAATTTTAGATTACAAAATAGATTTTAAAATTTTAAAATATTATCATAAAATAATAAAATAAATATTATTATATAATAATAAATATACTTTACTAAAAATAGTTATTATATAATAATGCTCAAATAATAATTAATTATGACAATTGTATAATCATTGATCGAGCGATCTCAAAACTCGAAGCTCAACTTGTAACTGGTCATCCTATATAGGGTTTTCGTGTCTAGTTTAATTTTAAATTGTCAAACTTAGTCAAACACGTTCGAATTTGTAAGTTTTAACTATTTATTCAAATAAACTGAGTTAACCAAACAATTTCTCTCTATCTTTTTCACAAACACCTCGTATCTCTAATTTTCAATGCAAATTCGATTCAACCAAGAGATCTAGATTTGACTTGACGAACATTGATAAACTTGTTTCCCGAGTCAAATGGTCAACCCCGAATAATGTTTACATTAATGATATTTATAAAAAGAAGAAATTGATAATATTAATTATTATATAATTATATAATTATATATAACACAATTAGAAAAACAAAATTCCATAATTCCCCCTCCCCCTCTCTTCCTTCCTTCCCTTGCACCCCAATTTGGGGGGTAAGCCGAAACAGTAAATTTGCACTCCCGTTTTGCACCCCCCTACTGTTCCAAATTAACCAAACAGGTGCAAATGTGTTGGAAACTGTATTTACCCCTCACATTTGCACCCTCCTCCCATTTACCCCTCTTCCCAAACAGAGTACATGTGCGCTCTCGTTGTACCTTTTATTTTTGTTTACCAGCACGAATTGTAAAAATCTAACAACGAATAAGTTGGTGATAGGGTATTTTGTATTCAAATTGTGATTCAATTATTTCGCATCGATAAAATTATATACATACGTCTGGGTTTTAGCAAAGCAATCCATTAGATAGCATGTAAAATTGTTGAGTTTATGCAAATGATCCGACACCTCGTCTACACGTGTCAATAGACTATTACGTTGTGATTACTTTGATGGTGCTTGAGAAAGTACAAGAATGAACAACACCCTTTTTTTCCTAAAGTAGTCGTGTGATCGATGTGCAGGTTTACTATCGGACATCGACTCGGAGTCGATAGACGAGGTGATTGTAGCGAACTAGTGATGTTGCTGAAAAAATTTGCAGGGTATGGGTCCCAAGAGGGAACAACACTATTATTGCGAGATGGCCACCACTTATATTTTTATGTGATTTTTTTTTTTTTTGCGATATGTTGTTGAGATCCGATAACTCAAATTATTACGAGATGTTCAACCGTAAATTTTATATTTTTATGTTACCAATTTTTTTTTATACATTTTTTATGTGTGTTTTTTTTTTTTTGCACATTAGTAAAAGAAAAATAGAAGGAGAGAGAAACTAGGTACTTTTATCATACACCATAATGTAGAAAATGATTGTTTATGGTCCCTAAAAAAAAAGACTCTTACTGTTTACTACTTTAACAACTTTCAAATATGAAAAAAGTACAGTCAGTATCAGATTTCAGTGCAAAGTGATTCTGATTTCTGACCCCTGACCAGCGCCACCACCGGACGGCCACCACTTCCACTTCCACCACCACCCCAGTCGCCATGATACAAAACAAATAAACAATTACCCCGGCGAAAAAAGAAAATGATGTAAGGCGAAGCAGACTGATACATTTATTTATTTGTTTATTTTATGTTCGTATCTGTAATTTTCACGGTGGCGTTGCGCCATTGTTGGTTCCCAGCTGGATCTGGACACTTCCTTCCCCCACCCCACATGTCCCATTCTTCCTTTTCCTCTCTCTCTCCCCCCAACTACCTTTCTCCCTCCATCTCTAACCTTCAATCAGAGATTCCCAAGCAAGCAAGCTCCTCCTTCCTCTCTAATCTTTTCTTCCTTCACTCCCCGCCCCACTTTTGCTCTCTTCTTCCTTTTTCCTCTCCCCTTTTTCAATGAATTGAATTTCTAAATATCTTCTGTTCCCTTCCCATGCTTGTCTGAATTTTTTAATCAATTTCTCCATCACTGTGTTTCCCATCTCCCCCTCTATAAATTCATCCCCCCTGCTTGCTTCAATCTCCCCCCTTTTCCTCCCCTTCCTTCCTTCCTTCCTTCCTCCTTCCCTCCCCTCTGCCCTTGCTCTGTTTCTCTGCCCTCTTCGATTTCCCCATCTGGGTTTCGATCTTTTCGAGCTTTTCTCGATCTGGGTTTTGAGGAAATCGCTTAGCTTAAGTTGGGCTTGATGCATAGTCTCGTAATATTGATGTTTGAGATTCATGTCTCCAATTCTCAGTGAACTCCTCCTTGCTTGTTGTATGATCAATTCCACCTTCCGGCGCAGGACCCATTTAGTTCAATCTTTCTCCGTCGTCTTCCTTTACTTTCTCTACTATGTCTCATAATATCTGATTCACCCCCGCCCACCTACTTAGCCTAGCTTCAAATAATCGCAATAAGAACAATAATTTTTACCCAAAACTAGTTTTCGTTTCCGTCTCTGTTTTTTCAAATTTCCAGTCCATCTAGCTACTACTTGGGTCCTGCTGCCAAATTTTTTTCTCTCTCGAAATCTCTGTTTTACCCCCTGGACCAATGGCGTGCTCGAGCGGGACGTCCTCCACGACGTCGTCCCAGCTGGCGGCGGCGCCCGCGGGGAGCAACTCCGGGTCGGATTCGTCGGAGCTCCAGGCGCTGATGCACGAGAGGAAGCGGAAGCGGATGGTGTCGAACCGGGAGTCGGCGCGGAGGTCGAGGGAGAGGAAGCAGAAGCACCTCGACGATCTGACGGCCCAGGTCGCCCAGCTGACGGAAGAGAACGGCCAGATCTTGACCAGCATCAACATCACCACCCAGCATTTCCTGTCCCTGGAAGCAGACAATTCCATCCTCCGGGCCCAGGTCGGCGAGCTCAGCAACCGGCTCGACTCCCTCAACGACATCCTCCAGTTCCTCACCGCCACCGCGACTCCTTCGCCGCCGACCACCGCTGACGGAGGAGGGTATTTTGGGTTCGAGTACGAGGCGCCGGCGGCGGCAGCTGTAATGGCAGAGCAGCAACATTGCTGCTTCATGAACAACATGGGGTTTCTGAACCATCAGCCTCTTATGGCTTCTGCGGCTGCTAATGATGTTTTCCTCGTGAATTAATTGATTATAACAAAGGGATGGATTGAATTGTTTTTCTTCTTCTTTCCTTTGTTTAATCTTAATTTGGAGGGGTTATTGTGGAATAAAGAGGCTGTAGAAACTTGAAAATGAGGTTATTATTTTGGTTCTTACAGTTTGACCAATGGTGGGATTACGGCTGTAACTATGGGCATGGATGGAAAGCTGGGGCTGCTCTGGTGTTTAATTAATTACTGTCATTAGTATTATTATTATTACGTGTGTAAGTTTGTTTGGCTTTTTTTCAGTTGCTTTGGTGCTTTTATTGTTGTTTCTTCTTTTCAATGTGATTGGTCATTGGTGGGGACTAATATTAAAAAAATCACAGTACTTGTGTGAAAGCTTTTTGTTTTGATGATTTTGATGTTTTTTCGAGATTGAAAATCCCATCATGTGTTTGCATCGACATCATCGTACGAGTAAATGACATTTGTGCCCCTCCATCTCAAGGTCGTTGACAAACAAGTCCATTTAATATTTCGATTGAATGGATCTATTCGTATTCACAAAATTATCGAACATGTCATGTTGTACCTGAAAATTAAAACAAATACTTTCGACTATCCTAAATTAAAAGAGACCAAGAACTTACAAGCTTCTCACTGACCTCTATGGGAAGGCTAAGTGCCCCTACCTCAAATCCTCTAAAGGTAACAGGTTTTTGCCACACTTTGATCGACATATAAATCATGTTGATGTATAGTACCACTTCAAATCTAAATGTCGTGTTATAACTCGTGTCGTCGTCTTCGATCTGATCTGACTTCATTATCTTTTCATTGGACTTTGTCAACCATTTCCACACTTGTGAGTCTCGAGTGCGCCATCTTGCTGTTAATATTCTAGAAGAGAAGTACTAAATACTAATCGTGGACCTCTTTGTTCAAATTGGATGAAAGAGGGTGGGGAAATTTGCAAATTAAATTTGTTGCTTCATACTTGCTATTATCAAAGTATCAATCTCGTACGTCTAGCCGCACAGTTGGCACACTTCGAGCCGCTATTTCATTCTTTTGTCTTGTTTCTAGCAGAATTGAAACTGAAGGGTAGGGGAAAAAACCATTATTCCATGGTTAGGAAGAAGACAAAATGGCCATCCTTTTAGTGGGTCACTAATCACTATTTGATTAATTGTAATCACATGTATATTAAGTTCCGTGATTAAATCAAATTGCTTAATTTTTTTCTTTGAAAGGGATCATGGTATTGAGAGGTTGCCAATATTGACGGAATATGTTGCCAATGGAATCGCAGATAGTGGTTTATTTATTAGTTAGCTTCAACTCCTTTTTATATGTTTCCTTTACAACATATAAAGTTTGGAGAATTTGAAGATAAGAATTCGTAGAACGCACTATTAACTTTCACCAATTTGGTATTACACTGAATATTCATAAAAAAAAATTCATTTTATCACAACAAACAAGAAAATATTTAGAATTTTTTTTAGCAATTTGAAATTAGGTGATACTAACATATCGTGCACAAAGACTTTGATTCGTTGGGTTCTACAACTTATTAGCAATGGTGGGTGGGATTGTAAACTATTACCTGCACATGATTATGATGAATGAGAACGTCGATAGCTAGCACCATAATTATAATAAAATAAAAAAGATTACCCTAATTGTACTATTCTTGTTTCCTATTCACTATCATAGGCTGAGAAGGAATAACAATAAAATTTTGAAATTCGTTTCATTTTAGAGTTTTCATATGAATGCTAAATGTTATAAACGTTAATGTATTTAGTTGTAGCAATGAACATATGCATAAACACGTAATTTTTTGTTAACACACACGTCAAGTACCACGTCTAATGGCCTCGCCACAATTTACAATTTTACATGCTTGAAAGGCTTTGGCAGGACTTGACGATGATCTAATTAATGCTACTCCTATCATGTTGAAATCAAATCACACGGTAGTGTTTGATTGACAATATTAATTTACAAATTCGTTTAAAATCATTTTAGACCAATAACATTTTGTACAGTTTGTCTACATCCAAAGCAGTCAAAATCGGGATTTTACCAAAAATCGAAAACTGGGGTAAAATCGGAATCGTAAAATCGAATCGTAAAATCGTAGGATTTTAAGTTCCATATAGAAACTAAGATATAATCATATTAATAAGGTAAACCATTACTAACACAAAGGCACATAACATTGAAATTGATAATTCTCAAGATTAATGTTCCAAGATCATCATTTTAATTGTTATTTAATGCATAACTAAAATAATTCACGAGGAAATGATAGATCTCATGGAGCTTGGCTCTTGTTTTTCATGTTGTGTTTAGGTAGTTTAACTCAAAGTAGTACTCCAGTCAGGTTAATGTCAACATTGTCTGTTAATCATGATTTAAAACTAATAATATATGAACTCTAATTGAATAATTAATGCTAGTGGCTTGCCAAAAATGTATTAATTAATCAATTAATGAGTTAATAATTATATTAATTCTTCTTCACGTACAATATTAGGAAAACTATTTTGCCGATGAGTTCAACGGGATGAAGGAAAAGAGAATTACCGAGCCATAATTTGGTTATTTTTTTCTTTTCAAATTTTTTTTAATAGGAAAAATATTTGAGAAGATCCCCATCATTGCCCTTTTTACCAAATCAGTTCCGCTTTTTTAAAATTTGCTCAAACAACCTATTTTGTTCTCATACGATTTTAATCCCGATTTTGGTAGGATTTTACGATTTTAACGATTTTAATCTCGATTTTAAACGATTTTAAGGTCCACCGATTTTATAGTAAAATCAGGATCAGAATCCCTAAGTAAAATCATAAAATCCTACGATTTTACGATCAAAATCCCGATTTTGACTGCTTTGTCTACATCGACTATGATTATCGTTGTTGACTATGCTAAGTGAACCTAGCCACATTCGATATCATTAGTCATCAATATGTATGCGCTAGCTACAAGATGTTTCCCGAAGAAAGCATTGGCAAAAGCTCCCCCAACTTATCTGCTAAGCTAGAGTCTTACAATTTGTACAAAAAATATGACTCATTTGCAAAAGTTGGAGGATGGCTGGCCTTAGCACATGGATATAGGGCAGTAAAGCTAAACCTACTAAAGACTTCCAGAACTCAAACCCTACCTAGCTAGTTTCCTTTCTCTTAAACTAGACAATTGGAAGTAGAAACAACGTGCTAATTTGGTGTCAGCTAATTAATTAAACAAAGCAACATTCAAATTAATACAACAATACCATCATTACAACACGAATCATCTAGAAACATATAGATGATCAATCTAAAAACTGGAACGGGCAACTGTGACGTAGTAAGAATATCGAAACATATGTGTCCTTTAATAAGAAAATATACGAATATTTTTTTTTAAAAAGTTAATATATTTCCATAATTCATTCAAACAATAAGACATGACCGATCAATACAAGTTTACTTATTAATCTGAGAGACTAATTTCTTTCTTTCTCTCCCTATTCCTTTATTTGGATCAAAATCGTTTCCTAGAATGACACCTAGAAACAAGCTTTTCTGAAAAAAAAAAAGAAAAAAAAAACGAAAACCCAGGCTGGTGGGATATGTCACATGGCAAATACAATACGAGCCACTAGTTTGCATCCTCTGGGTCTGGGTGAAATAAAGGGTTACAAAATTAAAGTAAAGTGCGAACGCCAAGTAAAGTGGTAGTTCCCCTAAATCAGAAAAAAAGTAATTTCGACCAAAGAAGAAAAAAAAGTATTTCAGGACGTGCTCAATTTAATTTTAATTTAGACTTCAATGTTCCTAAATAAATTGGACGGTAGTCTCAGGCCTGAGGGAATAAATTTGTACTTGTAAAATTAAACTAACTTTGTATCTGATTCACTATTTTTATGTCTCATAAGATGCTCAATTAGCGAGTTGGCCAATTAAGGAGGGAATAGATAAATTCGAGATGTTTTGCCATTTTTTGGGTCAGAAATCACAACCGTACATAGGTGGCAGATCTGTAGCTTTATTAAAAATGAGATAGTTTAATTTTTTACAAAAAAGAAAATCCCTCGTACAAAAAAAAACCCTCCACACCGACTCCGGTCAATGCAAGGTTGTCAACCCTAGGGTTGACCCGGACCGGATTGAGCTAGTAGGTCAAGGGTTAATGGGTCACTCGTTTTACCCGGTTAGCCCGGAAATATGGGAGTAGTCATTATATTGTACTTATCCTGAAAAATTATATAAAATCGCATCTAACATATGAGTTATAACATATAATATTTCACCAAAATAACATGTCGTACTTAGATCCAACATATAGTGAAAATTCACACACACTTATATAACATTAATATTCAAATGTTTAACTTAGAATTCCAAAGATTGAGTTAGGTGAAAAGAAAAATCGGGAAATAGGCGCATTTCGAAAATCAAAGAAAAAAATGACAGAATTTGACCTCCAACTCGGTACCTTGTAGCGGTTGACCCAACGGGTGCGTGCGACCCATTTTTCTCACCGGGTCAGGGTCAAAGTGGGTCAACCCGTAAGTCGACCTACGGGTTGACAACCTTGGGATCAATGTGTAGGATACCTTTGGAAAAAAAATATATTGATAATTCAGCCATTCAAAGTATGATGATAAAATTTTATTACGTTATTTAAAAAATTAAGCTAATTTCCCATTATCAATAAAAAATTACTGATTTACAAACACATTTGACCTAAGTTTAGGTAAAGTAAAGGTTCAAGGCCCAAGGGTATTTGATAAAAGTAAAAGGAACGACGTGTAATTTGAAAATGACGTCTTCCCTAAGGAATCTTTCGGAATCAACAGTATAATTTATAGCTGAAAAGTAAAACTGCAAGCCCCATTCAAATTTCCCTGCCCGTAGAGTGAAAGTAGGAGTCTGACGTGTGGCAGAGCATTTAGGCGGGATTAATGTAAATATTTCGCCGACTGCAACCGTCATTCTTCCTCTGTGTTTTTCTTTGGAACGTTCCTCCTTCCTCTTCATC